GCAATTTATCACTTTATATAAATGCTAGTAATTAGGGTTTGTATGAGAAGATAAAATCAACAAATAGCAAACCCTAATCAAAGACTAAACAAAGCATGAAAATCAATACACTTGCACACAAGCACCCCTAGGATAAAATCCACTTGGTTGCCTTATAAAAATGGTCATATTATGCATGTGATGTATCTTAACAAAAATACAAGATCATAATCCCTCGATGACGCTATCTATGTCGCCTTTTCAAAATGATCTTAGTCCCTAAGGAAAGATGCTAAGATACCTTGCAACATTGCTAATCATGGTTATACGATGACCCATGCCCGTCCCGTTTATATCCAAAGATAGGGTTACTTACCAAATCAATGGTAAGATAACAATGTCAAAAGAGAGAGGAAATAAAAATGAAAGACTTTTGAGTAGGTAGATTGTTCCTAGTTGCTTGCTCAATTTCAAAACCAAAAACATCCTTGCTATTTTCAAAACAAACACCAACACTTTCAAAATCATCTCTCAAACTTGAAAATATTTTTAAAAGATCAACACTTTGTATACATTCTTACGAACGAGAATCATTACAAAATTTGCCTAAACGAAGGCGTCTTTTCAGAATACTTTCAAAAAAACCACACAAAACACAATTTCAAATAAAAGCAAGTGATCTAGCAAGCAACTAAGAGCCCATGGAAAATCATGGATGAAAAGGGTGCTAATACCTTCCCTTTTCATAATCTATCTCCCGAACTCAAGAAACAATCTCAAAGGTCTTTCCTGTGCTTTTTCACCTTTCTTTTTGGATAAAAAAAAAGTCGGTGGCGACTCTTGCTAACTGCAACATTTGCGATAAAACGCAAAAAGAACCAAGTCAGTTCTCCCACTGCATCACACTATGTGTTATTTGATGTTGAAGTCATTTTTCCATAACTAAGATTTATGTTTAAAAGAAAGTATTATGAGACTTAATTGTTGAGTTACTTTATTTAAATAATTGTGCTACGAGAGTCATATAAAGCGAGCATGTGATGATATGTGTTTAAGTTACTCTATAATTTATATTAACATGTGTTACTGAGCAGGTTTGTGTTATGTTGAGTGACACCCTATGTGCATTGTTGTTTATTTTCATCTTATTCACGTGTTGGGAGTTTTAGAACAAAGATACAACATTTGTTTAAGCTGATATAGGATGTAAATTTTGTTTGCTGAAGTAGAAAAAGAGATGACTTGGATGTTGTGAGAGATATATTTTTGCTCCACCCAGATTCAATTAAATTGTTGATCATATTGAATTGATTATAGATAGTCTCTATTTGAAATAGTTGTCGTGATGTCAACCGAGTTGACATTTGCGGTTGCAAGGATATAGTGAGGATGGGTGGCCCATGATGCAAGCACATACTTGTATTGCTGCCTCTTCAAATGGCACTCTTAAGAAATCAACAAGTCCATCAACACCTTCTTCAGTGACACCTGGTAGAAGGTCCCAGAACTCATCCCGGATCGGAAGGTGAAGCAAACAATAAACGTTGTTCGCTGTAATGATCGTCTAATCAAAAGGCATGTGAAATGACAATGCCTTTAGATGTCATCTCAGTGTAAATGTTTATTGCAAGTTTTGGTCTATCCTCGATAAATTGATTCTCTAGAGTGAAGATAGACCAAAGTCACTCAACAACCTCTCTATCGTAGGGGGAGGCAATGTGGAACACATCTTATAAACTTGCTCCCGTGTCCAACAACCTTGAGTTCTTTCTTAAAACCTTTCTCCTGAGAACAATTTAAAATATATATTAAAAATTATATAATTAAATTAAAAATTATTCAAAATAAAGTGATTGTCATTTACTTACCTCGCCAAATCATAAATGGCAAACAACATGATACTCGTACTTTATCAAAAGAGACATATCGTATGATCTTCCTAAAAATCCTAACTGTTGTGGAGCAACATCCCACATGTTCATCCTCGCCGTCGATCGTCTCTCGTGCACCTCGTGTTACACTTGCAAGTACTGGAATCCAACCCTCATGTCCTCAAATTTGTGCCACTAGAAGAAAAAAAACACATTAATAATTTAAATAAAAAGTAACCAAACCAGATATCCATTATCAAAGAGATCTGATGGCTAAAACTATGATTGCCTTAGATAACTCTATTTTAAAACACAATAGCAAAAAACTTTCGGTGTTACAATGTGTGTACCGAATAACTTTGACGTAAAACTCCCAATGATTTTTCTGATCAAATCACTAGAGAGAAAGACTTCCGATTTTATGAACGTGGACCGGATAATTAGGATTGAAGTGTTCTGGTTTTGGTACATAACAATTTTAGTAAAAAAAAAAGTAGAGTATATTGAAGGGATAAGGTGATAAATCTTGCAGTATGGGGTAAAATTTTCTACACATCTATGTGACCTTCCACGAAATTGCCTTAAAGGGTTCACGTGGTTCTTGTGTACCGGTCTGACTGGTTGGTGTGAGTTTTCAATGAACCAAAACCATTTCTAGCCACAACAAACTTTTACTCCTTCTGGTACTTACTACTACGTCTAGAGCCACATACCCACTTTTTTTAGGTACATCACAGCCACAAACCTGTTTACACAATAAGAGAATAAAAACAAAAAAGTGCACAATAATTGATTTATAAAGTTAAGATTAGAAAGTGCAATCACTTACAGATGGAGTAAGTAATTGCACTTGTAAAGCTGAGTCATAATTGCACATAATTTCACTGGTTTTATATTATTGTGCACTTTTTTCCCACTATAGCTAGGGTACAAACCCAAATAGTTTGATCTCGAGTCTTGACAATAAAATTCCCATTACATTATTACTTTTCATTGATTCACTAATCACTATCAGGCACAACTTTAATTTATTATTTTTCTGCACTGGTCATCATCTTAAGAAAATTTATGTCAAAAAACCGTATATTCGTATGATGACTTATTTGTATATAGGATTTATCATAAAATACTTTCTTATTTAGAAATATAAATCAAGTAGAAAACTCACATGAGAACTATAAATAAATTGAGAAACTACATGATCAAGTAACACAACTCGTTTATTGTATCGCTTTCATAACAAAAGGCAAATTTGTTTAGGTAATAACACTGAAAATAGACAACATAGACAAGAACACAACATAAAAACTAAGACCAGAATACTATATCTCCTTCACTTCTTCCTCCTCGCTCTCATCCTCACTCCAGCAACATTTCAGAGTAGACTTTGGAGATGTGCAGCCATCATTTCGAACAAAGGAACGGTAAACAACAGCACCACCTTCTCCAACAACTTCACTGCTCCTCACTCCGCAGTAGTATCCTTTCACGTCTAAAGGAAATTGGTCAAGCTTTTCACCATTCATATCAATGTGCAAAGCAATAGAAAACTCAGCCGGATAGAAACATGCTAAAACCCTTTCAACAACTTCATTCAGAGATTTCTCTTCATACTCATAACCCACAGCTTCAAAGCTTGCATAACTGAATCCATCTTCAGGGGTGACATGGATAGTTGATATTGCATTTCCTTCAATTCCATTCATTGAATACCCACATGGATCAAATTCAAAGTCACATATGTCAGATTTTGGAAGGATCTTCCTGATTCCAGAATTCTTAGTCATCAAAGCTGCAGAGGATGTGCTTGTCTTGAAAAACACAGATGCCTTTTCTTTATCTAAACCAGTCATGCACATTTCAAGCCCATAGACAGCTTCCGGTGAAGCTTCTAGTTTAGCACTGGCAGAGTAAATGTGCCAAATTTGTGACTTATCAGCATCACCCATCATATAAGCTTGGCTACCAGAGCCAAGTTTGCCAAAATAGCTGTTAAGAACAGCAACTTCCTCAGAAAAGCTTCGATGAGGGAATGATTGAGCTCCTGGAAAAATGAAGCTTCCACGAGTGTACCTCACCGATTTCACAGCAATGTTAAGACCATCGGCGAGCTTAAGAATTGCAGGAATAGACAGAAGCAACTTTGTAGTCCCGCAGGTTTTGATGATAAGTTTGTAAGCATAAACAAACAAGCTTGACTCAGAAAGAACATATGAGTCAACATAATCATTAGATAGTGAGTCAACAATAGTGCACTCTGCAGGGTTCAGAATTTCATCCAATTGGTCTTTAGACAATGCTCGGAGACCTAATCCAGCAGGATCAGAGAAAACACCACTCTCAAAAAAAGTTATCTCAAGCCTCTTTTCGTAGCCTTCAAATCCAATAGCTGAGTTTATCATGGCCATCTTGACTCAAAGGAGAAAACAATTCTTGTTGTTTGTAGAGAAATAGAACAGAAGCAGAAGAAAAGCAACAACTAGGAGGAAGAAAAGGAGAAGAGGAAAGTAGAATAATTTGCAGTATGAAAAATAAAGGACCTAAATCTAAAACAACCGAGAAAATTTCAGGAGGGTTTGCGGGTGCACTGCATAATAGAGAAGAAGAGGATGTTAGAAACTAAATCATTCTATAAATAATCTTATGCTAATGTCTAGATTAATCAAAGGAATTGAAATGGGAAATTACGTTAGAGTAATCAGGAGATTTGAATTTTTCTACTCCACCGTTAGGTCGAACGTCTTCAATGATGTAATCGAGAGGAGCTTCGTATAAAGAGGATTTACTACTACTACTAGACTTCTTCTTACCGCCTCTAGACTCCATTACTTCATTCACAACTTCCTGGAAAAGGAATAGAGCAAAAAATCAACAACAAAATAGACCCGTTATTGCAAACAAAAAATCATGAATTCTGGGTTTTTTAGTAATGAAACTATGTGTGAAACCACAACGGAAAATTTGGAAATCATAACAAATTCAATATTTGACAAGAAATAATATATCTTGAACATGGACACAGAAATAAAGCAACTTCAAGTCTTTTTTCTCATTTTGCAAGATTCTTAGATTGGTGGTTATTCCTTGGAGTAGGTTTATGTCTATCTAAATATTTTGCAAAATGAGAAACAAGACGTTTCAAGCGATAAAATGCTCTTCAAAAAAATTCATCAAATCCTATCATGCAACAACACAGAAAAAAATACAGAAATCTTGATCAAATCCTATCAAAAAACTCATCAAATCCTACCAAAAAAATTCATCAAATCCTACCAAAAAATTCATCAAATCTTATCAAATCCTGTCAAAAAAATTCATCAAATCCTATCATCAATCTCTTGTTCAATTCATTCAAAAATATTCATAGTTCTAAATCCAAAAACACAATCAATAACCTAAAAAGAATACAAAAAATGAAAATAAAATCTTGAAACTCACTGTTGTTTAACAATTGGAGAGCAATCTGTTTCTGATTTCCCCTGTGTGAATCAAGATCTCAGATTAAATGACCTAAATCGAACAAAATCAAAATCAAAATCAGAAAAAAAAATCAGAACAAATTGAAATCGATAATCAATTAAGAGATGAATACCGAAGATAATCGCAATGCACTTACAGGGAATTGAAAAATTGGAGAGAGAGATGAAATTAGGTTTAGAAAATTGAAATTGGGATTGTTATTTGTTTGAGATGTTATGAGAAGAGGTGAGGTTTATATAGAGGCTGATGGGGAAGTTTAATTACGATAATACCGTTTGGTTTTTTCTAAGTTTTGATCTCATCCCTCTGCCGCGTCCCTTTTCTTAGCCACGTATACTACCGTTGTCCTTTAAAATTGGTATAGAATTTTTTTTAAGCCACTTTATAAATAATTAATGTAAAAAGGGAAATGCTAACAACTAATAATTCAACTTTCTATAAAAATTAAAAAGTAATAATAATTCAACTTTCTCGTGTGAGATATATTAAAATATTTAAAATAGTAATACTTTATTATATATATATTATTTACAAAATTATGAAATATGTCATGTGAATATGAATTGTAAAAAATGATCCACATGTTTTTTTGCAATAAATATGTTGTATTATTTTATTTTATTTTTTTTTTGAGTAAAAGATAATTTTTATATTTCTAAAATCAAATAATTACAATCTAATCCATATAGATTCAGAAAATAAGAAAAACTAAACAAACGTTAATCTAACTGAATTTACTCAATATAGAGAAGCTTCCTATTAACGTGGTTAGCCAAATTCTTGTATCCTTTACATCTCAAGACAATATTTTTCTATAATCTTATCCTTTATACTATCATCCAACACATGTTGAATGAAAATCAAATCGTTGCGCATTCTGCAACTTTAAGGATGCATCTTCTCCAACCCTTTTTCTCGTTTCAGTGATGAGTCAATTTCTCTTAATATTTTAATTGGATGGGACCCTGTAGAAACCAATCCATCTGAGAATATGCTGCCAAATATCCCTAGTTTTACTGCAGTCAAACAGTAAATGGCCTAGATCTTCAGGTTCAGTACAGAACGCGCACCTAGCATTCACATTCACACCAAACTGGAGCAACCTATCTTTCATTAGGAGTCTCCCCTTAATAGTAAGCCACTGGATGAAAACTGCTCGAGGCCTTGCATAGTTGAAGAAGAAAAGCTTTTTCCAATCTATTTGATCTAGCTCTCCTCTCAAACTTTGATACATTCTAGAAGTGATCAACTTGTTTGTGTGCACTGCAGTCTCCCAATAAGTTGTCTGAATCAATTGTTCTCTGGTTTTCACAATCCGTTTCACCATTCAGGAACAATTTTGCGGGGTCTGCCATTGCATTACATCATGGTTCTTGAGGTAGTATGTATTTATCCATCTGACCCAAAGCTTATCAGCTTTAGCTTGAATATTCCAAAGAAGCTTCGCAACTGTGGCAATGTTCCAACACAGCAAGTCTATTATGTTAAGGCCTCTAGAATTCTTGAGCTCACAAATCTTGTCCCAAGTCACATATGTCTTGTAACATCTCTCCTCTTTGCCACTCCACAGAAAGTTCCTACAAAACCCTTCAATGTGATGAATGACTTTCTTAGGCACCAGAAAAACTTGCATCTTCATAAAAATAATTATATTATAGCGGTGAAACCCTTCTCAAATCTCAGTTAGTTTTTTCAAGAATTAAAATTAGATAGTTTAGTTCTTTCAAAAATTAAAATTAAATAGCTTAATTGTTTAGCTTTTACTTATTTCATTAACTTCATAATTATCATATTTTTAGAGAAGGAAATGTATGTGTGAATTTTTTAGTTAACTTAGATTATTTACTTAAATGTTTTATTTGATTTTCTTTTGTGGATTATATTGCCATTTTTTTTTGACAAATTAGGTATCATAAGACTTAAGACTTTTTAATTAAGAGGTTTTGGTTTGATTCCCTTGTATTCTTATTTCTTTGACTCTTTTTTTTATTGATCTCTTAGGTTTAAAAATAATAACAGTAAAAATAAAAAAATTCAATTTGTAGACAATATTAATAAAAATTAATATTGTGAACATGTCACAATTAATTATCAATTATCATCGATTATATGTATAATTGTAGACTTTTTACGATAAAATTTATATTATTTTATTAATTTAATAATTATAATTGAATTATGTAAAAACTTTTTGCAATGTTGATATAGTTGAATTAACTTTTAAAGTAAATTATTTTTAATTTATATATATTAGTTAAGTTAAATGAGTGTAATTTGATTAAGATTTGATCCTGTCAACAACATTTTTTTATATTTAGGTATTAATATAAATAAATTTTGATATTTATAAATGAATATATTTAATATATATCACTACAAAAAAAACTCTCACTTGCGACGTGAAAATCACGTCATAATATGAAAAATCACGTCACAACAACTAATTTACGACGTGAACAATCACGTGACTGGGGAATGGGTGACAAATTTTTTGCGAAGTGATTTTCATGTCACAAAGTTGTGACATGAAAATCACGTCGCAATATGCTTGCATAGAAATTCCGGAACTGCAGAAGAAGCGGGCGCAGGAGTGTGAGTCAGAAAAACACTTTATTTGTCACGTGATTTTCATGTCACAAATCTCACAACTTTGTGACATGGAAATCACGTCACTAATATTTTTCTTTTTCTTTTTTAAAATTTAATTGCTAAAATTTGTTTTTCTTTTATAATTAATTAATATAGACGGATTATTATCAACCAACAATATAGACGCATCAACTTGATGTCCCTCAACTATTGTATCAGACAGACTTATAATTTTTCATCTAGAATCACATCATTAATTTTCTCAACTTCATCAACTTGGTAAGCAGCATCTTCCACTAGATTGTCAATTTCAATATGATCCAACAGTTTTATTTTTATTACAACACATCTTCCTCATTTATGTGGTACAAATGAAGGATAAAGAACATAATAAACTTGTCTAACAATATGTGACATTATGAAAGGGTCATACTCTTTGTACCTCCGATCCATTTGAATCTCAACAGTACCATATGACTTATCTATTTTTGTGCCTCTAGTTGAATCATACCATTCACAATAAAACAAGACAACTTTATTTTCCGAGTCCAAGTAATTGTATACCAACTCGTAGATATGTTTAACAAATCCACAAAAGTCATCTTCACCGTCATTTGTAACTCATTTTACAAATACACCACTGTTTATGGTTTTTTCCCTTCAGTCCATGTCTTAGTGTGAAATTTATATCCATTCACGAAGTATGTGTGTCATTCATTTGCGCTTTGAACAGGGCCTTCAGACAAGTTTCTCAAATGGAGTATTTTTTGGAGTCAGTGCAACAATGCTAGACAATCTCTCCTTGAACCATGCTGGGAATTGAGCATGAATGATACCAGATGTTAATTGTACACCGACACTGTGAAAATAGACGATGTTAAATTCCCTAAAAAGAAACACACTATAAGTTTCAAAGTAATAAGTTTTATATTAACACTGCAAAGAAAATTAAACAATTGAGGTATACTTACTCAAGATATGGTTTAACTTCAACGCATTTGATCAAGACATGGACATGTGTGGATTGCATTTCTTTTTGGGTCAACCAATGCAGACCCTTCTTTCTTGAGGGACGATCTGGAAGCCCAAAGACTGATAAAGTGAATTGACTTCTCTCATTGACATTTACAGGATTCCGTATGATTTTAGGAGTTAACATCAAGTGATTGAAATAGTGACTGCAAAAATGTGATGTTTCCCGATGCAAGTAATGTGCACATATTGATCCTTCAACTCTAGCTTTATTTTTCACTGGTAACTTTGAATCACCCATGAACCTTTCAAATGGATACATCCACCTATATTGAACAGGTCCACCAAGATAAGCTTCATATGCAAGATGCACAGGTAGATGTTCCATGGAGTAAAAAAAATCAGGCAAAAATACTTGTTCCAACTTACAGAGAATGAGTGAAATATTTCGGTCCAACTTAATGACGTCATCCACTCTTAAAGCTAACACACAAATATCTCTAAAAAATTGACTAATTTCAGTTAGTGGATTAAGCACATGTTTAGGTAGTAAACCAAACGCAATTGGTAGCAATTGTTCCATAAAAACGTGACAATCATGACTTTTCATATCATGCAACTTCCTAGTGTTAGCATCGACACACCTTGCTAAATTTAAAAATTATCCATTTGACATTCTCAAATCTTTTAACTATCGACAAATCGCTTTAACTTCTTGAGAAATCAGACTAAAACAAGCATTGAGTTTAAGTAATTTTAATATATCAACAAATTATATATTCTTAATATATAATATATTCTCACATAATATTTTAGTTATAAATATATTAAGCATAAAAAATTTGTTTTTATTTTAACTAAACATTTAATAAACATATAATAATCAATGTTTTTTATAAATAACTAATACATATATATATATATATATATATATATATATATATATATATATATATATATATATATATATATATATATATATATATATATATATATATATATATATATATATATATATATATATATATATATATATATATATATATATATATATATATATATATATATATATATATATATATATATATATATATATATATATATATATATATATATATATATATATATATATATATATATATATATATATATATATATATATATATATATATATATATATATATATATATATATATATATATTAGAAGAAAAATATATGATAAAAATTATAAAATTTAGTAATAAAAATTATAATATATGATTATGATTATAAAATATAATTATA